TGATCTAACATGATCTCTAATCACATTTCATTTATCAGTCTTAGGTAATTAAACTAACAAGTTGAATTCAGATAATACAAATATCGCATGATAAAGTCCTAAATCTACCCGGACATTACATGATATTAGCAATATTCGGACTCTTGTTACCTCGTGCGTGCGTGGACCTCACAATAAGTAGCACATAGCAAATATACACCTACGAGGTAGCTTTCCCCCTCACAAGGTTAAACAGAAGACTTATTGTCATGCCCTGACCTCAAGGAGCGCGACCGGCGCCAAACCGAGATAACTCGGTCGAGCAAGCCTATACAATGCCTTCTACTTAAACTCACCCGTGAACAAGGAGAAGGTATATATCATTAACTAAACAATGAGAAGGTTACATGAACAGTCTAAATTTCATTACCGTTAGAACTTCATTCAAGATGTTTCGAAATATTACATTACACATTCATAGTCTGAAAGTGAAAACATATGATACAAATACAACGCCTTTAGTTTGACTTTCCCAAAACAAAGGTACCACCCACGCTATGTCTACGGAGCTTCTAATGGATACAAAAGAGTAGCATGATGGTGCCGTAGCAAGGCTCCGGCTATACCTCAAAACAATATACATAAAGGACAGGAGATATAAGACCCCATAATGAAGTGGGGCTCACCAAGTCAGCTGAGGAGAGGCTGTACTGCTATCACTGATCAATACCGCCTGCTGTGGAACCACCTGCATCCATTAAAGATGCAGTGCCCCCAACAAAGGGGACGTTAGTACATATGGAATAATACTAGTATGTAAAACTAAACACCCTCTCAATAGAACGAGTAACAGTAAATGGAGAATAAAACATGATATCAATAAGGGACTCAAACGGTATCAAAGTGCCACATTAGGGGAAACATAAATTTCAAGTAGGTTTCGGAAATTTAAGCTGGGAGATCTTTAGCATCGATATACTATCGTGTTTTAGCACGGAGTCCGATCTCAGTCCGACCAGCTAAGCCATCTCACCCCGAGACATCCAATCACAACACCACTATGTGCGCGGCATGGCGTCCGATCTCAGCCCGATCGGCTAAGCTGTCTCACCACAATATCGTGTGGGTCGACATCACATCACATCTCGCTAGCAATAATCTCATCCCATTTAAGGGGAAATATCTCAACACATCAATCTAATCCCATATTAGGGGAAACAATCTCATCCATCAACACGGGGATTTACCCTTCAATTACTCCTACACCGACACGTGTAGTTTTAGGATTAGGTTATTTCGATCTACCCTTCCTCGGTGACTAAACGATACTCCCAAAGCATTTATTATTTAAAGGATTTACAACTCATTTCATAATCTTTCACACATCTTTCCATTTTATTGTCACTAGTGGCCACAATTGTAATATCATTCTCGACACGTCGGCCGTATTTCATATTTCATACTCACCCCTATAACTTTCAAGTGTTACCATGGATTATCATCAATAAGAGAATTTCAAATCAAAACTTGAAGTATACATATGAGCAAACAAGAGTCTTAAACACATTGAGTTTCTCTTCGACAATTAGGCATACTAACTTGCAATTGAAACATGATTTTTAAATCACACTACCTTTGGTTCATTGATCATACTAGATTACATTCTCGGAGGGAATCATGATATGATAGAAACATTTGGAACATATTTTGAGTACATACATCTTTCAACACAACACTTATTTTAGAATAGTCAAATCTATTAGGAAGGACTCGGAACATGAGAAATAAGAAATTGAGTCAATCATAATAGCAACTTATGAGGACATCATGGAAATCGACTCTACAAGAGGAGTTTATCCAACATACCTCGCTTGAGCTTCCTTAAATTACTACAATGTTCCAGAAATCCTAGCGATTTCAATCTATTAGAAACATGACAAATTTGAACCATAATTAGGAAGATACTCAGGGTTTCAGCTCATTTGAGCATTTTATCAAGCACTAGGTGTGCATTAAGGTTTCAAGGTTCTCCTATGGTGGATTCCTTCATCCCACAATCTAATGTTTACCCATTTGGGCTCAATAACCTTGATGGTACATGCATGCATAAATAACACTCAAGAATCACACTTCGCATTACCTACTTTCAGTCCAATCCTGAAATTGACGGCTAGGGAGTAGATCTTACCTCTTGGGTGAAGATCTTGTGAGTTTTCCTTTTTGAATTTCAAAGCTTGAGCAAGGGTTGATGAACAAAGTACTTGGGGCTTCCTCCTCTCTCTCTCTCTCTCTAAAGCACTCCCCTCACTCTGAAATTGTAGATTTTTGCCTTCTAAACGATACCCAATGGCTTTTAATCAAATGGGGTCGGGTTTTAAAAATCAGAAAATGGACCCTCCGAACTCAGTTTTGCGGTTGCAGAGTGGACCGCAGAACAAATATGCGGCCCGCAAAATGGGCCGCGAAAGTGATGCCAAAAACTAGGCTACTCTGGATCAGTCTGCGGTCAGGTCTGCGGTCCGCATACCAGTTCTGCGGCCACAAATGGACCGCAGAATCACCCTCCGATTTTTTTTTCATGCCAACTCTGCGCCGGTAGTGCGGCCCGCGAAACGATTATACGGTCGCATAGTTGACCGCAAAACGATTTCCAAAATTGGCCATTTCTCTGCTTCACTCCCCGGCAGATCTGCGGTCTGCGGAGTAGATCTGCGGTCGCATAATGGACCGTAGAAATGCCCTATTCTGCAATAATTTTTCTTCAACTCCCCAACGCACTATTCAACCCAAAATGTTTGTACCACGATGCCCCGGGTTTTAGGTGAAATTTTACGGGGCTTTACACTTACACCCCTCTAACACCTTAACCAATGCTCATCGATCCGAAACTAGTCAAACAACGTGCAAATCAATCAAAATATACTTCAATGCTTATAAGTTAACAATTTATAACAATCCTCAACTGAGCTTGAAAAGTCAACAAAGTCAACCCTCGGGCTCACGTGTCTAGATTCCGAAAATTTTTGAAGATAAACATTACTCGTAACACCACGAACTCAAATATATAATTTATTCCCAATTTTATGTCTAATTTCGTGGTCAAAATCCAAAAATACCAAATTCTAGGTTTTCTCCTAAAATCCCACAATTTCCATAAATTTTCATGTTAAATCCACATATAAACCATGTATTTAACCCACAAGGTGAAGAAATCACTTACCTCAAAAATGATAATGAAAATGGCGCTCCAAAATCGCCCCAAAGTCGGCTCCCAAGGAAGAAATGAGTTGAAAATGAGTCAAACCCCTGATTTTTTAAGAAGTGTTCTGCCTAGCAACCCTTCTTCGCGATCGCGGAAAACTCCTCGCGATCGCGATCGCGAAGGCCATCCAGCATCCCCCATGAAATTACTCTTACGTGAACGCGAGGTCCTTCTCGCGATCGCGAATCATAGCCTGCCCAGGCCTCCGCGAACGAGAGCCCATTAACGCGAACGCGAAGGCCAAACATAGCCTCAGCAGAATTCCTCTTCCGCGATCACGTGAAAACATCCGCGATCACATAGAACAACTACCCCCAAACAGGCCAGCCTCAATAACCCATCGGCAACTTCTCCCACGCGAACGCGAAGAACAACCTGCTCCAACTCTGTGATCGCGACTGCCTTTATGCGATCGCGATAAGCAAAAATGCCACCAGTCCAGTTAGCCTTTCGCGATCGTGATCATCCTCTCGTGATCGCGATGCACACCCAACACACCAAAAACCAGCAGTGATAAAACAAGGGGAATTTGTCCGACAACCATTTCGAAACCCACCCGAGGCCCCCCGGACCCCGCCCATTCATACCAGCAAGTCCAAATACCTTATCCAAACTTATTCAAAGGCTCGAAACGCTGTAAATAACATCAAAATCACGAATCGACGATCAAAATCGTTCTTTCAACTTTCAAACATTCAAACTTCGACGAACGCGTCCGAATTACACTTAAACATTCTGGAATGACACCAAAATTTACGTGCAAGTCACAAATCAGGATACGAACCTATTCCAAGGCTCGGAACCCCAAACGGACATCGATAACACCAAAGCCTCCTTCAAACCAAACTTGAGAAATTCTAAAACCTTCAAAATGCCAACTTTCCACAATAAACGCTGAAATGCTCCCGGTCCACCCTATACTCAACTCGAACATACACCCAAGTCCGAAATCGCTATACGAACTTATTGGAACCTTCAAATCCTAATTCGAGGTCGTTTACTCAAAAGTCAAACCTTGGTCAACTCTTCCAACTTAAATCCTCCGAATTGAGAATTTTACATCCGAATCAACTCCGAACTTCCTGAAATTCAATTCCGACTATGTGTATAAGTTATAAAAATGAATTGAAGCTACTCGAAGCCTCAAATCGCCGAACGACGCGCTAAAGCTCAAAACGACCAGTCATGTCGTTACAGAAAATTCACAAGATCTATTAGAAAATTATATATGAGAATAACCTGCAAGGGAATTACTAGATTTTGGGGTCAAAAAACTATTGATTATTTTTTAGTTACAAGATTTTGGGGTCAAACAATTATTGATTGTTACTTTCCTTGCGTTTACGCTTTAGTTTAACAATTATATATTGTCATAGTTTTACAAAGTGATGTGCAATTTGTTTATATTAGACCTACTATCTGCATATGTTTCTCTAGCAGATTGAATTGATTGAATTTACGTCTCGTGTGACTGGAAAAAAAAGTAATAAACCAAACAGCCAGAATTATGACAAACCAACACACAAAGAAACAAACGACCTGATTTTACGTATGGTTTGATTTGATTTAGATTTAGTAAAGCAGCACAGTTAGTGCGGTGCTTTTAAAGTGAAATTTATATCGAACCATCAATAAGCAAAATCCAGTGCCAAGCCGGACCGACTAAACCATGTTTAGTAAAGCTTAAAAAACTTCAATCTAACAAGAAAGGAGTTCATCATTTCGATAGAAGAAACATTTAATGAAGTGAAAAATATGAAAACCCGTACTGATTGTTGAGATTTACTTGAACCATTATCATCGAAAATTAAGATAAATTCGCTGCTTGTCTATTCTGAAAATAACTCACTACAGAACACAAAAAACTGGTACATTGCATCTTTTTTTTAAGACTATTGAATATGGTGCATTTTCCAGCAGCCCTTGAATGAGGACACTAGGACCACTATTTCTAAAGTACAGAAAGGATTATATGCGGCAATATGTATTTATGTTATTACAGTTGGGGCAGAACGGCCAGTGAATTCCTGCATCTTTGACAGCTTAATAGCAACCTCCACCTATTACCAGACAGTTGATTCAGGAAAAACCCAAAAAAAAAAAAAAAAAAAAAAAAAAAAAAA